GTCGTCGCCGTGCTGCTGACAAACACCCGAAATGGGTTTCAAATGTGTGGCGGCACTCACACTGATGATGTCTTATCGGGGGGAATGCCCCCCCCCTTCCCCCCTCTAAAAATGAGTGAATAACACTGACATTACTCTCTCTCTCAATCGGCGAGGGTTGCTTTCTTGAACAACGCTCGCGAATGCAGAAACCTTGTTCAACGGGGTATAATGGGGGTTTACGTTCCTGGTATGAGTGAACATCGGGGTGGGTGGGGTGGGGGCGGTAAATGTTTAATAACAATGACTACAATCAATAAATAATATATTATGAAGAACAATGGTCTTTTTTATCTTTGATGATTATGCTGCTGATTTGAGGACGACCATGGAGGTGGTGGTGAGGAATTCAGGAGGATGGCTCCTCAGAAGATGCAATGATAAGAGGAGCGTGCGGGAAGTCCAACAAATACACATTGTACTGCTATCCACCCCGTGATCAGTGCCACTTGTACACCCACAAGACAAAGATCCCCCGTATAGCCTTAACAGACTGTTGGGGCAAGTGATTCTTTGCGAGCACCTATGAAGGCCGGTACGGCACTTGAAGAGGGTGGGTGAGCAGCACAACGCCCGGCCGCCTTTGTCTCTCATGCCGCTCCCAATCACGCGTGTGAACAACACACACACACACGGTGAGAACAATACGCACCTCTACAACCCTATACAATACTTCGCTTTTCACACATCGATTCCTATTTGGAGCACCGCCTTGTTTTTATCTTGTACTCGGGCACCAGATTCAGCTTATTGCTGTGACCTTGCCGTACCAATGATCCTCACATACACACAGTTCAGCTTAACACGTCGGCTTTCGCGACCAATATCATCCATAATAGAGGTTTTTGGGTTAGATCGCGTAAATGTGTCGTTAAAACCCGCCACCACCCGACACAGCCAACTAGAAAGGGTTGTCACGTAAACAGAACGTGGCCAATTCGTCACTAGTACAGCACTAGTGTGTAGTGTATAGTAGTGTATAGTGTAGTGTATAGTGTAGTGTATAGTAGTGTATAGTGTAGTGCAGGGGTCGGGAACCTATGGCTCGCGAGCCAGATGTGGCTCTTTTGATGATTGCATATGGCTCGCAGATAAAACAAAATATTCTCACTTGTTTTAATCCATCCATCGATTTTTCACTGCGCATGTCCTGTTCAGGGCTGCAGGAGCAATTGTCCATTATTTTAATTGGATGATACTGGCCTACGTTTGCCGTTGCTGGGTAAAACAGGTAAGCGCCCCCTTTTGAATCATTCTGAGACTGCGTCTGCTCGGTCATTAGCTCAAAGCTAACCCTTCGACGAAGAAGATGGCGAAAAGAAAAAAAGACGACGAGTATCGTACATTTCAGGACGAATGGACCGAAGAATTCGCCTTTGTGGAGAGAGCGGGTTCTGCGGTGTGTCTAATTTGCAATGACAAAATTACATCGTTGAAACGGTCGAATGTAAAGCGGCACTTCGACACGCGCCACGCTACCTTTGCATCAAAATACCCTGCGGGAGACAGCAGAAAGAAAGCGTGCCAAGAGCTGAGCAGGGTGCAAGCTAGCCAGCAGCAACTCCGCGTATGGACCCGGCAAGGTGACTATAATTCGGCTAGCTTTGCTGGTTGTTTAGCAATAGTGAGGACCGGAAAACCATTCACAGATGGCGAGTATGCTAAAACGTTCATGCTGGATGTAGCCAATGAACTTTTTGATGATCTTCCGAACAAAGACAAGATAATCAAACGGATACAAGACATGCCTCTGTCGGCAAGAACTGTTCATGATCGTACCATCGTGATGGCAAACAAAGTGGAGGAAACGCAAGTGAAGGACATAAATGCAGCGCCGTTCTTTTCTCTGGCTTTGGATGAGTCAACAGACGTGAGCCATTTGTCGCAGTTCAGCGTGATTGCAAGATATGCTGTTGGTGACACACTGCGCGAAGAAAGTCTTGCTGTTCTGCCATTAAAAGGGTCCACAAGAGGTGAGGATTTATTCAAGTCTTTCATGGAGTTTGCTCAAGAAAAAAGTCTACCTATGGATAAACTTCTCTCAGTGTGTACTGATGGTGCTCCGTGTATGGTGGGGAAAAACAAAGCATTTGTGGCGCTTCTCCGTGAACATGAAAATAGACCCATCCTAAGTTTCCATTGCATTATACACCAGGAGGCACTTTGTGCTCAGATGTGTGACAGGCAGTTTGGCGAAGTGATGTCGCTGGTCATTCGTGTGATCAACTTTATTGTTGCCCGAGCCTTAAATGATCGCCAGTTTAAAACACTGCTGGATGAAGTTGTAAATAACTATCCTGGTCTGCTTTTGCACAGCAATGTGCGTTGGTTGTCAAGAGGGAAGGTGCTTAGCCGTTTTGCGGCTTGCCTGAACGAAATCCGGACTTTCCTTGAAATGAAAGGCGTCGGGCATCCTGAGCTAGCCGACACCGAGTGGCTCCTCAAGTTTTACTATCTCGTAGATCTGACTGAACATCTGAACTAGCTCAACGTGAAAATGCAAGGCATTGGAAATACAGTGTTATCCCTTCAACAAGCTGTATTTGCTTTTGAAAACAAGCTGGAGCTTTTCATCACGGATCTTGAAACAGGTCGTTTACTACATTTTGAAAAACTGAGCCAATTTAAAGATGCATGCACAGCAAGTGAGCCCATTCAAAACCTTGATCTCCACCAGCTAGCTGGCTGCACATCCAGTCTCCTACAGTCCTTCAAAGCACGCTTTGGAGAATTTCGTGAGCACACTCGTCTTTTTAAGTTCATCACCCATCCAAACGAGTGTTCACTGAACACAGCCGACCTGAATTACATCCCTGGTGTCTCCGTCAGAGATTTTGAAGCAGAAGTGGCTGACCTGAAGGCCTCAGACATGTGGGTGAATAAGTTCAAGTCACTGAATGAAGATTTGGAAAGAATCACACGACAGAAAGCGGAGTTGGCGAGCAAGCACATGTGGACAGAAATGAAAAAACTCCAACCCGAAGACCAGCTGATTCTCAAAACTTGGAACGCGCTTCCTGTCACATACCACACACTGCAGCGTGTGAGTATTGCTGTATTAACCATGTTTGGATCTACGTATGCATGTGAGCAGTCATTCTCACATCTTAAAAACATCAAGTCCAACCTACGATCACGTTTAACGGATGAAAGCCTCAACGCTTGCATGAAGCTTAACCTCACCAAGTACCAACCCGACTACAAAGACATCAGCAAATCCATGCAGCACCAGAAGTCGCATTAATGGTGAGTGTTATAACAACATTATTTAAAAGAATAAATTCAGAGGCTTATTATACTGACATTTAGTTGAATTCACTTTTAAAATATATTATATGGCTCTCACTGAAATAAATTTCCAAATGTTTTGCTTTCATGGCTCTCTTAGTCAAAAAGGTTCCCGACCCCTGGTGTAGTGTATAGTGTGTTGTACTAGTACAGCACTAACCGGTGTGTTGGAGACCCCAGCCACAACATTTACAATCTGAGTACGACGTTTCGCCAGTAATCACAACTAGCTTCATCAGGCGACAGACAGATTTGTGGAGAAGTCTTACTGTTTCGTTCCTTATATAGAGCTTGTAACATGGTGGTCCAGATGTCTTGTGACACCCCCCCCCCCCCCCCCCATTTAATTTTCTGAAACTTAACATTTTTTGTAAAGTAAGGTTTATTTTAAATATAAAGTAATCTGGAAAACAGCTTGCTTGAGCAACCCCCCACTGTTGGCCGTCTTCAAAGGTTGTGCGAGATTCCCCGTTACACGGCAACCATGTGGAAATCCGTGACACAGATGCCCATTACCATTCACGGTCTGCATGCGTAACGTCGAGTAACGGTTATGCAAAACTCGTTGTTTCGTTTGTGTGTAATCATCTTTCATATGAGTCGGAAATAAATCAATTAAAAAAAGCTATCTGTATTCTTGCCCGGCTGGCGCGCGGCCAAGTGGTGATGTCACCGCGCGCATCTGCGTGATGACGTCATCTGCATCCCACTGCGCTGAGCCGGGCTTCGTGCGTGCCAACGGGAAGCCCCTCCCTCCACCCTCGCCCCTCCCTCCACCCTCGCCCCTCCCTCCAACCCTCGCCCCTCCCTCCACCCTCGCCCCTCCCTCCACCCTCGCCCCTCCCTCCACCGTCGCCCCTCCCTCCACCTTCACCCCTCCCTCCACCGTCGCCCCTCCCTCCACCCTCGCCCCTCCCTCCACCCTCGCCCCTCCCTCCACCCTCGCCCCTCCCTCCACCCTCGCCCCTCCCTCCACCCTCGCCCCTCCCTCCACCCTCGCCCCTCCCTCCACCCTCGCCCCTCCCTCCACCATCGCCCCTCCCTTCACCCTCGCCCCTCCCTCCACCCTCGCCCCTCCCTCCACCCTCGCCCCTCCCTCCACCCTCGCCCCTCCCTCCACCCTCGCCCCTCCCTCCACTCTGGTCGTGTATCCCGCACCAATTCCCGAACCAGTGCTGGCTAAAATGAAGTGAGGGTCTTCCCGATCAAAGTAAGTGTCCCGTGATGCAACCTCGAGCCGCTAATGGGAATGATATAACACTCACAAGGCCAGACACAAAACCACTGCCACCTGCCAGTTCAATAACCTTGTTTTCTGAGTTGTCAAAACTGGAGCTAAATTATTGTACCGTGATAAGTCAATCGATGAGTTGGATTAATTTGTCCACGTGCACTCCTCCTTACACTATACATTGATTGCAATCATATTGTAACGAGTCAATTGATATTGTGTTCCTGTTGTCAGTTGATAAGTGGATTCATTCGTCCACGTGCACTCCTACTTACATTATTCACTGATCACGATTGTTCGATTGTACTGCCGAAATGATGGGAATATTGGACACGCCCCACATTAACGATTTCCCGGCTGTGCTCTTCCAGTCCTAAGGATATAAAAGCAGGTTCGTCAGTATGGAGCAGTGAGTAGTGTATCATTGTTGGTCACTGGGCTGGTTATCGCGCCTATTCTTTGTGGTTGCCTGGCGGTGTGTGGAAGCGTCATCATGTTGGAATGTTTAGCGGGTGTGTCTGAAACTCCCCTATTTCAATCTGGACTGTCTTGTCATTTGCTAGCCGTATTCAAAGTGTATCTTTTTTAATAAGGTGCTTTGGTTCCGTTGATTCGCTGGGCGTGGAAAATTTTACTCTCCCTATACTTTTTTGTTTACAATGCAAGTGTGTAGATCGCCAATTATGAAATCATCGGCCATTTAATTTATCTTAACTTTTTTTTATTATGGACTCAATGGCACCCTGCAATTGCATTATTTTAGGTCCGCTTACGTGGCCCTGTGGGCCTGGTTATTGATTCCTGAAGTAAAAGGGCTTGGTCGAGTTTGTTTACCATGATGTGGACTCGTACATAACCAATGGAAGATCAACAGCCGTACTGGGGTGTAAAGCTGTTGCAGCGTTTGCCCTTGACAAATGCTCTACCCCCCCCCCCCACCTTGCTGTGCTGCAGGAGAAGTGGAGACTGTGTACAAGCTGGCGGTAGCCACTGGCGATACACTGTTCTCGGGCACAATGAACTTCATTTTTGCAACGATCATTGGCTCGGAAGGCCAGAGCAATAGGCAGCTTCTGGACCACTTTGGACTGGACCTTTGCCCCGGGGCGGTGAGTAGCTTCATTGTATCTAATCGGCTTGTGGGAATAAGTACTACACGCTACAGCTTGCGCTTTCCTAGCTTCTGACTGAATTGCCTGGCAAATGCCAGATTGCATGCTAAGGATGGATTGAGCCTGGGTAGTGCTTGGATGGGTGACCACCACGATACAACCGGCTTGTGGAATAGGCTGCAATGATTGGTGGGTAACTGAAGAGCGCATTCGTGCTGAATGTAATCTTGTTCTGCTGTTGAAAGTGCCATGAAACAAGTACGTGCATGGGCAATACTCTTTTGACCGTGGCTTGAATATATGAAGTGTTTCCTTAGGCTGTTTGGTGGGGGTGGGGGGACGCAATATCTCCTTTTAATACCTGAAACTAACACGGTGTGCATGTTCACTTTTGAGAAAAAATAGGTCTGACAACTTGGAGCATTTTGATGTTATGGTCCTTTTTCCCTGCCAGATTGACGTCTACAATATTCCAAGCAAGCTTGACATTGGTGACATCCGACTGGTTCGTCTGGAGATGTTGGTGTGCCTGGTGAATGACTCGTGGTTCTGCCGCTACGTGGAGGTCAACGCTCTGGGTGGCCGGGTGCCAACCACTGGCTAGAGCAGGGCTCCATGGAGCTACGGGAGGGGTTGGTAAGATGTGGGTGTTGGCAGATCGCCATTTTTGGATTGGTCTCTACACGCATGGAGATGGTACAATTCCATTAAATGCTTATGGACTACCAGCATGGTCTAGCATTAAACCAAGGTTCCTTGTTTTAAGGTGACGCCTATCTCTTGCACTATCCCTTTTAACTGATTTCCCACAATTCCATCCAGGTTGTGCAATCGGCTGATGTAAGATGACGCCTTAATTTGGATCCCCTCTAATGATACTACTGTCTGCATGTGGAACTATCTCCCTAAACAGTCGGCGAAATCGCTGATTATGTTCGGGCCTTTTCAAATGCTGTGCACATGGCCGTCAAGATCGCCACGTGATCCTTAATTCTGCTGCGCAATAGTTCTTGCCCACAATGTAATTTAAAAGGTAGAATTTGACTTTGCAAGTTGTTGGGTACGTGTAACTCGTAGTGTTGTGGCTACCAAACGTGTTTTGCACTTGCTTTCACCCCTTGCATTGCAGGAATTCTGCCATAGCACGAGACCTTGGCTCAACTAAAGGAAAAGAGGGATGAGGAATTGTCCGTGAAACGGCACTCCTTGAGGTTTGAGGCACAGGTTATTCATGGTCTCGTGCTTTTCCAATTGCATTGCAAATTGCTACTAATACACTGCTAGGGTTGCTTTCATCCTTTGCCAAAAATGACCTAGAAACGACCAAGGGGAGTTGGAATTGTCTCCTCTGTTCTGGGTAATTCAGAATGATTAAAGAGGTGGAACTATGTTTTCCCACAGTTTCTTTTCAATGGTGTGCTCTTAATCTGTTTCACCTTCCTAATTGGGTTTTATTACACTTGGTTCTGGAATCGTGACCGTTTACCCCTTTATCAGTTGGCCAGCTGCCAATTACCAAAATGGTCAATCTAATTTTGCCACCCATATTGTAGTGACCAGTGTGTACCAAAAACCTTGGCTTTGACACAAACTATTGCGGCCTGCTTTTGATTTTCTGCAGGTGGCTAAAATGGCAGGCTGGGCTTCCCCTTGGAGTCGACAGCAAATCCTTCCTTGACTTGCCCTGCGACACCCGTTTTGATGATGAGAAAAGTGCCGATTTCAACTTGTCCTTTCTGCGAAGGTAAAGACACCATTTGTTTGCCATATGACTGTTACCATTTTGTTGGACATATTGCTAGCTTTGAATTCTGTTTTTCAAATGTCCGTAATCGGTCTGACTGCACTTTTGTACTGGTCGTTTAGTGTGCAAAATTTGGGTTTGAAGGTGTTCATGAACCTCGATGGCATGTCTTGGACGAAGATAGAATACTTCCGTCGCTTATTTACAAGGGTCAAGAGTGAAATTGCAGGTGTGCACGATGGGGTCGCTATGGTTTTGAGTGGTCAACTAGGTCTAGGGTTGGCTCCTGCTGGTTTTTCTTCACCTAACTTGTGGACATTAATGGCTCCACACCATCCGCTGCAGTAGCTTGCCATATTCTTTTTGCTAGACTTAATTTTAAGTAAATAGTGTACATGTGCTTCGGGTTGGTGCATGACACCAAATGGTGACCTGCAGTTTTAAATTATAATCCTGTGTGGCGTCTGTTCTACGTCTTTCCGCGATCTCTCATTGTGCAGAGTATATTTCTCACCACTGGCATCAGGACTGATTCTTTGGTTACCAATTCATGAATGGCGTCAACCCTGTTCTCATCAAACGCTGCACCAAGTTGCCTGAGAATTTCCCTGTCACCACAAACATGGTGAAGAGCAGCCTGGTCCCTAAATGCTCCCTTAAACGAGATCTAGGTGCTGTTAAGATCTCCCGATACTTTAATTTTAAACTTACCCCTAATAACCTTGTGCAGGCCATAGCTTCATAAGCTCATCACTGCAGTGGTGATGACCTGTGGGATTGTTTTGTATGTGCATGTTCACAGCACGGCAATGTCTACATTGTGGACTACCAGTGCCTTGATGGCATTCCTGGCAATACATTCGAGCATTCCAAGCCCTTCTACCTAGCAGCTCCCATGTGCCTGCTTTACGTCAACAAACAGGGGCAGCTGCTGCCTATTGCTATACAGGCAAGTTGTGCATTTTGCGCTCGTGCTAGCATCCTGGCAATGGTATCTTTTGCTATCAACAGGGCCACATCTCCGACTTGTGTACTCCTGCCCCAGATGGCACTAGCTCTCCCCTTGCCAGTGGGTTGGGTAATTATGGCATTCCTGCATTGGCTTGTGGGTATTAGTAAAGACCAAGATGCCCTAATCTCTTCACCCACTGTACAATAAGTCCTGGGAGCTTTGGCTTAACTTTAGCACGTACATGGCCAACTGTACTGCAAGCAAAGACAAGGTGATTGTGAAAAACTTTACATCGTTTTTACAAACATAACAGTTTGTCAAGTTGGCAACAGGTACACTTGTGCAATTAAAGGAACCTATTGACTATTCATTCCAATAACCATGTAGTACATGACATCAAACATGGCAAGCTTCGGTACGAACAACTGTAGCTTTACACAAACAATATTCTGCTGCTCCTACCACCATGCATCCACAGCTGCAGCAAAAGCCATCGGCGGATAACCCCATCTTCTTGCCGAGCGACTCTGCGCACGACTGGATGCTGGCCAAGATGTGGGTTCGTTCCATGGACTTTCAGATCCATGAGGTCTCCACGCACTTGCTCAAGACCCACTTGCTGGCCGAGGTGTTCACCATGGCCACCTTGCGGCAGCTGTCTACAATGCATCCTGTCCATAAGGTGAATCCATAGTTTTAATGTTGGCGTTTATCACATGGGAGACTGCTAGTGACACAGTTATCCACTGCTAGCTTGTATTTTTAAAATGCATGCAGTGCTATTCACCATCCTGGCAGTCCTTGTACTGCCTGTCAACCAACAGGACTTCTTTGTCGGGAGATGTGGTCTCTGGATTTGTAGATCTTGCCCAATACTCTGGTCATTTTTGTGACGGTAAATTTTTACTCTTGTGGGTTGTGTGGAACCATCCTTCCAGAATGTTATAAATACTACTCAAGGTGATTCTAATTTTCTGGTAAACCTTTGCCCAAGTACATAACAAGGTGAGGAAACGTATACATACCACGACTATGAAATTCCTTGTGCACAGGACTTGCCCTCTCCTTTTTAAGCACTTGAGACTGCATACTTAAAGCTACAGTAATTAAATGAAGCCTATTACCATCTAATACACATGGTGATCTGATTTTTCTGACCTGCTTGCGTATAGCTCCTGTATCGGCACCTGCGCTTCACCCTGGAAATCAACGTGCGTGCACGGACGCAGCTTGTGGGCACAGGGGCCTTTGTGGATCAGGTGAAGGTTGTGGTTTTTACGAGCCTTTGAAATGAGTTTCCATTTAAGCCACGGCATCAAAGCCTCTGAGGCAATCTTGTAATCCAACAATCTTACTTCTGCTGCATGAGCTGATTTTGTCATTGCTCATCTCCTGGATATCCTCTCCAATGCATTCCATTGTTTAGCTGCTTGATGTTCACAACCCATTTACAGAACCTCAATCACCCTAATATTTTTTTCCAATGCAGTCTTTGACATTGCTCACACTCTTAACATCCTAGTATAATACCAAGCATGCATCTACCTGTGATTCTGCAAGTTTTAAAATTTTAGGCATACTATACTAGCAAGTACTTTAACCTGCTTTTAATTTCATGTGGTCCTAAATCTTAATTTTTGCTTGTCCTTACAAGGGCTATATCCAATAGTTTTAATAGCGATGATGTAAGCTTTTTTTTTACCACTTGTCATCTGCCAACTTTTCGGCTACCATTCTAAATTATAGTTGCCCACTTCATGCCCATACAGTGACCATTCCAAATGGTTAATCTCTCCCTCCCCTATTGGCCCTCAATACTTCCTCAATGCAATTTTCCAAGACTGACCAAACTTTGAAGGTTGCCACCTTCTTGGGCTCCTTTAGCATCACCATGCATATCGACACGTCCAAGTACTGCAATGTTTTTCAATGGTAAGGCTTCGAATGACATGATCTTGAAATGTACTTGTGCAGGCGCTGTCAATTGGGTGGTGGCCATTTCAAGATAGGCGGCAAGGGCTTGAAGGCGCTCACCTACAGACATCTGTGCATCCTGAAGGATGTGGCAGATCGAGGTGTTGGTGACTTGCCCAGCTGCTACTACTACAGGGATGATGCTTGCAGCATCTGGAAGACCATTCACAAGTAACCAGACATACTATACGCTGGTGCCGGTGGTTTTATGTGCACGATGATGAAAGAGCTATCGGCGGGCACATGCAACCAACTTGCAAGAGCAGTTCAGATACCGTTTTTGTGTTAGGCCCAATTTATGAGTTTACACGTAATTTAACTTGATATCCTCCTTTCAAGATGCGATTCTGGTTCTTTCAGAAGTCGCATAGGTAGAAACACTAATAGATCACAACGTTTTGATCACCACAGGCAATCGTCTTCAGGTGGGCAAGAAACAGGCTGCTGAAACAAGTCCTCTATATATGGGGGGGGGGGGGGGGTGTTGCTGCATCGGGCAATTGGGTGGGGGCTAGAGATTGTGCCTAAAGTGAGTGGGAAATCCAAAGATGGGAACCGTGATGGAGGGTTTGTTGATGCACCTCCCACAACGAAGATCTGAGGTGGCCATTTGTATTGTGAGATTGGCATGTCAATGTGTAGTGACGGTATATCCACCACTAGGGGAATAAAACCTGCAACAGACACACATCAGCCAGTTGGTCTGCTAAAAAAACGAGAGCCACCGCCACATCGATGGAAAGGGAGACACGTTGGTTTTGTTAGTGGGTTGTCTACATGACTTTACCAAAAGAACGAGTGGATTCCTGCAGCCACAACCTTCAAATAATGCATTTGACTTGATGCTTCCTTCCCCAGGGTACATGGCTGTATTTCCCCCAACTATCATCCTAAGAATGGTACAAGAGGCTTTTAACACTACCACAATTCCAAAATTCACCTATTTATTGGACTTAATTTGCGACCAAGGTCGCTTCAGTTCCTGTGGCATTCATCTTAACAGATGAAAGCACCATTACGTTGTTGTGCAGGTTTGTCGACAAGATACTTGCCATCTTCTACAAAAGCGACGAAGACGTGAAAGGTGACGCCGAACTTCAAGCGTTGGTTGACGACATCAACCATGCCTTGCTGAGCAACCCGTCCAATGGTAATTAAGCAGCCCTGCAATTATGTCTTAGCATTGTGTTTTATTTTATAAATTTATGATTTTATTCTTGATCTACGTGACTTTTACCGAAAGAACCAAAGAAGATGAATCATTGCAGTCACGAAAGCTTTAAATCGAAATATATCTTGGCACTTGCTGGAGGGAAGGGGTTTTCTGCCAGGTCATTGGCATGCCCTTCCATGCTGGCCAGACCACTTTTTTGAGAATGGACATGCATTACTACACCAGGTTGCAACCTGGTTTTAGCCAACTGGTGTATCCTGGCATTCTTGGCCACAATGTTAAAGGTGTGCCCATGACTTGCCAGGAACTTGCAGGCAACCTCTACAGCAAATCCAGTGTGCTAACAAAGCCACCATTACGCCATGCATCAACTTTTTTTTTTATTTTGGCCCAAGGACCACTGCCACATGCAAAGGTTTCTATGGACCCCAGCCCTGGTGACAAAATAATAAATTATCTAAATGCCAGTAATACAACACTGCATTACTGAAACTCTTATACACTTACATTTTTGAAGGGCTTTTAGATAATTTACCCTAACATCAACTAAATTTCATGAATATCAATGTCACGCTCTAAACGCTTTCATTTCTGGATTGGTATATAGAACAGATACCCCTAACCAGACTGAGAACCACTGCTCTAGGCAATGGCAAAACAACTTACAATTTCGCCAAACGAGGGAAAACGGGTTTTGCTGGGTAAAGGTTATAGTTTTAACATGACTTCTTTGCTCGATATTCCATTTAACATTCTGTGCCGCAGGCTTTCCTACCAAGTTGACCTGTGTGGCAGAGTTGAGTGAATTCCTCACCATGGTTGTGTTCCTGTGCTCTGCCCAGCACTCTGCCGTCAACTATGGCCAGGTAACATAAATTCAGATGTTTGTTTTTTTGAACGAAAGCCCTTGCAAAGTGGTTCGATTTATTTCTGACTTTGTAGTATATAAAAATGCTCTTCCCACCCCTACTGTGTGCTGCAGTTTGACTTCTATGCATGGATCCCAAATGCACCCAGTGCCATGAGGAAACCACCTCCAGCCACCAAAGGTGTGGTGGACATGCCCTTCATCCTGCAGACACTGCCTGATGTGCAGGTGACTTGCATTTCCATAGCAATCACCTGGGTGCTTAGCTGCAGTGCTGCAAAGGTATGTGCTTGCTCCTGCATTTTCAATGTGGATTAAGGTTACGACGGTCTAAATATAAACTTAAAGCTTTAAGTTTATGGGTCTTTTTGGTAAATTCGTGTAGATGTGTTGCAATCCAAGCGTTGTAATGTGTGCATACCTAAATCATCATCATCAAGAAAAGGTGGCTGGCCTCTAAAGGAAGACTCTTTATAAAGATTTCAAATGAATGTAGCTCAAGTGGTCGGCAACCTGGGCAGAGCAGTTGATCTAAATGGTAATCGTGAAGGACGCCGGTGCTGGGTTTCCACCAATTAAAGGATTACCAGATCTAAAATTACAACATTACAGCCAGTTTATGGCTTAAAAGATTACGATCACCTTTTAGGTATGCTTGTCCTGAAAGGGCAGCCACTGAACCCCACCTAGTGGCTAACATGCATAACTAATCTTGGAGGTGAGTATACACACTTGCCCCAGTACACCACCTTCTGATGGGCCAACTTGTGCAAGTTAAATATTATATAATCCTGATTTTTTTTTTAAGCTGCTGCACTGGAAGGTTAGACTTCAAACCCACATGTTTAAGTTGAATCCATTCCAGCCATACAACGGTCACCTTTGTAAAGACCGTATCCTTTTTCAAAACCTTGATCCATGATTTAGCAACCTCTTCCTGCTGCATGGAAATTATATTGACCTAATTACAAGGGGGTCAACCAATGTCTTGAATGGTGTCTGTTTTTTCATGAAATGCGTGCAGAAAACCCTTGGAACTTTCCCAGATGAACCTTTCCAGAACCCAGATGCCCTCAAGGCCATGCAAGAATACCAAACCGACCTCGAGGTGATTACAAAATCCATTGTTGAAAGAAACAAGACCCTTCCCATCAAGTATCCCTACCTGAAGCCTGACAAGGTGGCCAACAGCATCACAATCTAAATGATGGGGGCAAACCTGAGGATTAGATTTTTTTCACTTTCCTGCCTTGTCCTTGTGTGCTGAGGGACCAAATCGCGGTTTTGGTCTATGTAAGCTTTAACATTTAAATTTGCAATGCAATCTTATGTTTTCTAGTCTGTGCCCTGCCTTAGGCTTAAATGCACGTAACACTTAATTGAACAGGGTCCTGAAGACCCATACAAGATTTCAATGCAAAAATGTGCCACAATGGTGAATTTTAAGATGTTGAAGGAAATCTGACACTGACATTGATTTTCCGTGTGGTTTTCACCAAACTGTTGTGCCTTGCACTGTCCACGTTGCAAAATGAAAAATAAAATCTCAACATTCTGCAGTATTGTGCATTTGGCTGTTTGCAATGCAGCAGTAGGCTGGTCTGCCATGCCCTCTGCTGCCATCGCCTTGCCTGTGCCTCGATCGTCCTGGCTGTGATCGTCCTCTTGGGCACTGGGGGTAGTCAACGAAAATTGACTAGACCAATAGTTCTCTGGCATGATCTTCTTGCTCCACGCTTTGAAACTAGAAATCCAGGAGATGCCGTTCACACATGGTGGATTTATTGAATCTGCCACCACGAGTGGACTATCTGAAACGACCAAATATGCCAACTCCACGCCCCATGCCTCTATCAAATCCCTGTGCCACGCAGAGCCAATTCTAAAATCTACAACTACATGCAAAACTGCATTTGTAACTCGTGCTTCCGAGGGGACATTTTAAGCCTTCTGCTTTACCAATTAATAGTATAATGAAACGATTTGAACTTGTCACACCTTGTTCGATCACCATTTCACTCGTCCATTGTTTAAAACAAAACTCCCCTGAGCACTCGCACACTAAAAATGCTAGTAAATATAATGCCTAAAGCAGTAACATCCTCCCATTTTCCTGCAAAAACCCCACCAGTTTACACTATTCAAAATAAACTGATCTCGTACCTGAAACGACTCCCCTTCAAGCCCCACACGGCACTGGAATCCCTGCGCATATGGGATTAATTGCATGTTTTGAATTATTTGCACTTGCACCAAAATTAACATTTCTCAAACTCGCAACGAAACTTAATCCCAAACTGTCATTGTAAAGATTTCGGGTTAGGCTGTTACTAAAATAATACTTTATCCCCATCCATTATTTAGATTCTAGTTTATTATGGTTACAAGCTGTTTTACGGAGCTTCCTCATTCAGCGTCTCGCCTGTGCCACGCCGACTCTTGCACCAAATCGATTTGTGATCATGTCCAATCTCTCACATTGGTCATCATCCTGAGCACTGTCAAAAATGTTCAAAAGAAAATGGGGTATTATACTGAAGCATGCAAATATGCACCATTTGACAATTACATAACCACACAGGTTACACCTAGGGTTTGCTTGCCACGTTTTAATGTGTCTTTGGCTCCAGATAAGTGCCTAGCCATTCTACATTTCCTTAGCTTAGCAATACTACTGTAGTATAGTACTTGACACCCAGAAGACCTGGGCGGGGGATCAATCACCACCCGGCGACGGTGAGACCTCTACATCTCTAGCCCTGCGGCGGCAGCTGGCATCTCGTCCACACAGGCTCATACCTCTCGCCAACAGCGACCCTGCCGTCGTTATGGGGTCCCCGATTAAGTACCCCTTGGTGGCTCCTCCCCCTAGCTCGGACCTGCCTTTGTTTTTTTAAGGTACCCCCTTAACACCCGTGACATCATTCTCAGCCGTCAACCCACTCACACCTCCCTGTGTACGCCATCCCAGCTGTCAACATCCCCTTATGAAATAAATCTAGACGACCCCTACGACAAACGGTAAACGTCACAAAACAGCAACACTAACACTAAACCCCCAAGCTAACATTTTTATAGCCACAACATAATTTAATACCCAACAACCCAAAAATGCAAAAAAACCAAAGGAATGACCATCTGCGAGGAAAACAATACCGGATGGCCAACGTCAAAAGAGTCCCTCCAAAGTGTCGCGCTGCGCTCATCACACTAATGGCGCCGGCCTGCTCCCCCTCCCCCGCAAGCAGCAAGGTCCCTTGCGCAGTGGCGGAGCACTCTGTAGCGCGTTGGCTCACCCCACAAGCACAAAGCAGGCGGCCCCCCCAGACTCCACACGTCGGGAACCATCTCCTTGAACGCGGCTCCTCTCGCTCTCAACAGCCCAGGTCCTTCCCTGCTCTTCTCACTCGAATCGCGGGGAGAAAGGCACACCCCGCTCGCAGTCGCAGGGCTCCAGCGACGCTTCGCCAGGCCGGCCTGGCGCAAGAGGCGTGGCAGACTGCAGCGAACACGTGGTGGCAGACGCACAGCAGCAGTAATGGCGCCCGGTTGCTGTGGTGCGTCTTGAGAAAAAATGGCGCCCGGTTGCCGCGTTGCATTTAAAATGGCGCCCGGATGCTGCGTCATATTCAAAATGGCGCCCGGTTGCTGCGACGTGTCCATGCCAAATGGCGGGAACCATTCACCAGCACTCCTTCCAAACTTCATTCTGCTCTGAAAAATAACACCATCTGCGAGCTGCTGCTATTCGTCCAGGGTTCACCGCTCTTCATCCTTTAACAGAAAATACTTGTGCAAATTATTAATTCTACTTTTCTTATTTCTGGGTGGTATTGAGCTTCATCCTGGCCCAAATGCCAGATTTTTCTGGCAGAAAAGGTGTTGGTGTTCTACATGTCAACATCAGAGGACTTGTGATTAAATTAAGTCAACTAAAACTAGAAGTGGCAAATCTTGATCTGGACATTTTTTTGCCTAACAGAAACAATTCTCACTCCTGCCATCAATGACTTGCAGATTACGATTGACAACTACAACCTTATTCGGCTTGACCGAGGATCTAAAGGAGGTGGAATTGCCATCTATGTTTGTAATACTATTGCACGCTCACCAGCTCACTCTTTGTTTAAAAAAATGTTACTTTGAAGGTTTGGCTCTCAGAATAACTCTCCCAAATAATCAACAGATATTGGTAGTGTGCTGCTATAGACCGCCTAGCAGGAAGAATGTTGAAGCTGCATCTGCACTGAGAGAGCTTTTTGGGGGCCTCTCTAAAGGTGAAATAGTTTTAGATCTAAATTGGAATTGGCTAAACCCGCCGGCCGTGGCCACAAATTTTACAGATGAATTTAACCTGTTTCAATTAATAAATGTCCCCACAAGACCCAACCTAAAAAAGTCCGGGACAGTCAACTCTGCTTGACGTCCTATTAACAAATGCCCCTCAATTTCGCACTGACTGGTGTTCTGGGTATTAAACTTAGTGATCACTCCTTAATTTTTGGGGTGAGATCATCAGCCAGACCCAAAGCCCCCCCTAAAAATGTTGAAAAGCACTCTTTGAGGCACTCAGGCATTTCCTAATTATGTGCTTCACTCGGATATTGACAAGGTATGTGATATCCCCAACCTGACTACGGCTTGGGAGACTTTCAGGTACACGTTTCTCCAAATTGTTAACAAACATGCTCCGTTGGTTAGATTTAAAAATAAAGGCAACCGCCCACCATGGTATGATCCTTTGATTACAAAGCTCATGAAAACTAGGGACAAGGCTTGGGCATGTGCTCAGAAAAGTAATTTGGTAAATGACTGGCTAGATACAGGATTTTAAGGAATAGATGCGTCAAAAAAATACGGCATGCAAAAAATGCCTACTTTTCCTCCACTCTCCTGGAATCACATGGAAATGCCAGGATTTTTTGGAAAACAATCAAATGTATCGAAAAGGCATTCAAAACAGACAATCTGCCCGTTGAGCTTAACCGAAATGGGGAATATTTTTCAGATCCCAAAAAAATAGTTAACATTTTTAACCTTTTTTGATAATGGATTGGGAGTCACCACTGCTCGTGCAAATTCCTACACCCCTGTCCAAACATTAAACGAATTTAGTTTCCAGCAAATCCACGAAAGTAATGTGCTGAAACAACTGTCCTACCTCAAAGGGTCCTCCTCTACCGGAGCAGATCGTTTTCCCGTCTTTGCTCTACTAACAGTTGGTCACCTAATATACAAACCTATAGCCCATATTTTCAACCTGTCCATCAAAGAAGCATCAGTTCCTCTAGAAAGGAAACATTCCTATGTCCGTCCAATTCACAAAGGGGGCCCTAAAAATGATCCCAATAACTACCGACCTATCTCAAGCTTGATTCCATCTATCACTCGGGCTTAAGATTTGCATTGAACTGCCCATATAGGGCCATAATAATTCATAATAATTAAGGACCTATATGGGCCTACATGTTAAACTGCCCATATAGGATTCACCACTGTGATCTCTACATTGGGTCAAACTTACCATCTATTAATGTTCGACGGCTTGTGCACTAGATCTTATTTATTCACGATGTACTTACAAAAAAATCCGCAGACTACCTACTGGATCTCCTCTCTATTTCAAAGAACAAATTTGACCTCAGGTCTTCGCTCATTTACCAGCTTCACATTCCCTATTGCCGTACAAAAACCGGAGGAAGGGATTTTGCTATTGATGCCCCCACGGTCTGGAATGCTATTGCCAATAAACTGCAACTTGAATCACTACCTTTGAGATCTTCACTCAGAACTGCTCTGGAGGAGTTGTACACTCCTAGCTGCCACTGCTATTCAGTGGCCTAAAATAAAATGAAATGTTTCGCTCCGGATGACCGCTGCAAAGTATTATCTGTATTTTGATTTAGTGTGCTGATCTTAAAGGTGCATTGAAAAACGTGATACTCTGACTGATGCTCCTGTTGTTGTGGAGTGACTCATGCAGCCAGCTATGGCTCTAGGGTTTGTGTGTTATATGTTATTTATGTAGTTTATTGTAAAAAAATTCGGCCACAGTCCGTATGATCACTGTTATATTGTATTCATGGCTTTGTATTGGTGATTTCGAAAAGTTTTTTGGTTTGGCCATGTTTTTGTTTATTGTAGTACAGAAGTAGACTGATGGCCTTAATCTCAGTTGTCTTGTGGTTGTTGTTGTTTGACTTGCATCCCACTGGGATTTTTGCACAGAGCATTGGTGTACGGTGCTATTTCAGGAATATTTTGATGTTTTTTTTCCTGGATTTTCTGTTTGTACAGTCACATAGTCACTTTAAGATGTTTTCTTGTTCATGTTTTTGTTTTTGTTTGTTGTGGTTGCACCCGATTCAAGAGCCGAATGGCTCACAGGGATATACCAAATAAATGGAACGATGAAGTATGAACTATGACCCGATGGCGGTCGCGTCCTCCTGCAGCTCCGCCGTCGACTGGCAAACACCCAGCCGCTCTCTTGCCATCCTTTTCCACTTCCATGGTGAATTTGATAGATGAGTGTATGGAATTGATGTGGTTGATA